GTGTGTGTGTGTGTGTGTGTTTTTGGTGTATCACGGCCGGGGCACAAATTCGACTGGTCGAACTACAAACGGGCTCTTTCTTGCGTTTCTCAACACACTTGGCACAAAACAGCTCTTCCGAATTTTCTACGAAAGCACGCGCGCAAAAGAAAATGTGTCGACGACGACGACGACAAACGACACGTCTGGACACGTCGGTTACTCGCACGGATCTGTTTTTCCGGCGCGCGTTTTCCAAACGCGATCACGGATCGAACGGCGACATTCGAACTGGCGTCCGATATGTATCTCGCGTGAGAATTAATCCACGACTGCGAACGGCGAGACACCGAACGCGTCAATTTCCGGGGCAGGAAAAAAAAAAACGGAAACCGTTTTCCAAAAAACGGTATCGATGAAAGTCACTCTCTCTCTCTCTCTCTCTCTTTTTCTCTCAGCGGAGGAGGTGCTTCGCAGAAACAAAAAAAAAGCCAGAGAGATAACAATGCACACCGGTTTCCGCCGAGTCAGCGGCAAGATACGCTACAAAACATAGTGTTCAAGTTAAAATAGTCGACTATAGTCTCTCGAGGTCCGAAGAAGCTCGGTTGCCTTCGTCGCGCGCAGAGATGCGCGAGACCGAGCTGGCTCTCCCTCCCTTTCCCACTCCCGGCTCTCTCGCGTTATCCGTCTCGTACTCCCTCCCTCTCCCACTTTCTTTCTCTTTCCTTTCGTCTTTTTTCGCTCGGCGCGCGTTTCCCCTCTTTCTCTTTCTCTTTCGCTCGCGCCCGCTCGTACTCTCCCGTGTACCCTTTTGTCCGGGAAGAAGAAACGGGCAGGTCGAGAGAGAACTTCGTGCCCTCCTCCGTTTGCGGTTTATATACGAACGCGTATAAAATCGCGGCGGCGAGGGAACAGAATCGTGGCTGTTTCGACTTCTCCTCCACCGGGCGGGATCGCACGCGGCTTGTAATACTCGGCAATCGCCGTACAGATGATAAATATCCGAGTAAGGATTTTTGCGGAAAAACAACAATTCGTCGAACGAGCGATAAGAAAGGTCAGCGTTCGTTGCGCGACTGGCGGAGCGCGATTCTCCTCGTCTCGTCTCGTCTCGTCTCGCCTCGTTGAAATTTAAGTAGACTCTCGATCGCGGGGAATCGTTCGCGCTCGTCGTCGACAGCGACGCACAGATGTCACGTTTAACTCACTCTCACTCTCTTTCTCTCTCTTTCGGCCGATGTAAATTTTATTGCGACATCGATGCGAACTCCGACGCAGAGAGTTCAATACACGCGAAACGATACCAACAATGCTCTCTATTCATTCCCTCTATGCCTTATGTTGCGTATTTTTTTCTCTCTCTCTCTCTCTCTCCCTCCCGACGCGGTCGCGCCCGAATACGTGAGATCGTTGAAAGGAGAAGCTGCGAGCACGTTTTCCCCAACACACACGTACGCGCGGATTCGCGGCCGTGCACGCACATCTCGTCGTACCCCACCTAGTCACATTTTTCTCGACTTCGGTGCGTTCGGTGTGTACACGTACGTTTCCCTCCCTGGACGAATATTATCACGCGTGTGTGTCACTGACGTGGCGGGCGGGCGAGCGAGTCGGGAAGATGCACCGAGTAAAAAAGGGATAGGCGATAGACAGGCAGATGGATAGATAGATAAACAGAGAGAGTGAGAGAGAGAGAGAAAGATGAAGGGAAAGAAAAAAAAAACAAAGAGACG